GATTTGATGTTAGGAGAAGCCAGTACTTCGGCCATGTTATTACGAGAAACCAGTCCCTGGACAAGGACACTGATCTTGGAAACGTAGAAGGTTAGAAAAGAGCAGAGACCCTCCGTGAGACTGATTGATGCCGTGACTACCACGGTGGGCTCAAACCTAGGGGTGATTGGGAGGCTGGTGCAGGACTGGGCAGCACTTCACCTGGTGAGCAGGGGGTTGCTGGGAGTCAGAAATGACTTGACAGCACTTAGGAAGAACAAGTGAGGCTCTTCCGATTTATTCTCCAATTTAAACTTTTACCCCAATTAAAATGTCATTTTCTACCAATCATGACCTAAAAACATTTTTTGAGGGCCAATAGAGGCATGTCTGATAGTTTCTGTGGAGACTACTCTTCTGTTGCAAAGTATTTTAGAATTTTTGTTTCATGTAGTTGTGCTTTGTCTGGAAAGGAATTCATTAACTTGCAATTTTGATAACACGTGTGAACATACCCACTAACCTCTCTCCTAATGCAATTTATAGTTTTCATTTAGCATGACCAGCTTAAGAAAAAGGATTTTTCCCATTTTTAAAATCATTATCACTATCTCTATCATTATCATTATCAATTTTCATGAATGGGAGGACAGCAGGGCTGTTTCACGAATATTCTAGGTGATTTGCCTTTCAAATGCCCAATTGTATGGTTTTCTTCAGGTCTTAGGGCTCTCTCACTTCCGTTTCATGTGTACATGCTTTTGTATCATGAAAAGACTAGACACTGAATCAGGAGTTTAAATGTTCTTTACGATCCTGTTTAAGTAGGCCAAATGGTACCCAGTTTAAAAATTATGCATACAATATCTTAAGGATTTCTACACACATAAAGATTTACCATCTTCACCAGCCTGTGTGATCATGAGGTGTTGATGGGATCAGGTATCAGGCATCAAAGACCCAGAACAAAAATTCATATAGCTGTGAATGAGGGGAAGGGTGGAGTGGAGACCCAAAGCCCATCTATAGATAATTGGACATCCCCTTACAGATGGGTCACAGGACGAGAAGAGCCAGTCAGAATACCATATAGCACTGATAAAACATACAACTTTCCTTTAGTGCTTTGATCACAATTCGACCTTACAACTCTGACTAGACCAGAGCATGAACACTGGTCCAGATAAGAGCTCTTGACTCTGCCCTTGATCAATGTAACGAAGAGGAATTACTGAAACCAAAATGAAGGCTAAGCATGATAGTGGGACAAGAGCAAAGTAAAAGGAAATAGAGGAAAGAACTAGGAGGCAAAGAGCATTTTGAGAGGTCGAAATGCAGCATGTACATATCTAAATATATTTATCTATAATGGGGAAATAGATCTATGTGCATATATTTATAGGTTTAGTGTTAAGGTAGCAGATGGACATTGGGTCTCCACTCAAAGTACTCTCTCAATGCAAGACCACTTTGTTCTATTAAACTGGCATTCCATGATGCTCATTTTCCCAACATGATCACTGAAGACAAAGTGGGTGCAGAAGCAAATATGGTGAAGAAAGCTGATGGTGCCTGGCTATCAAAAGATATAGCATCTGGGGTCTTAAAGGCTTGAAGATAAACAAGCAGACATCTAGCTGAGAAGAAACAAAGCCCACATGGAAGAAGCACACCAGCTTGTGTGATCATGAGGTTTTGATGGGATCAGGTATCAGGAATCAAAGAACAAAAAATCCTATCATTGTGAATGAGGGAGAGTGCAGAGTGGGAACCCAAAGTCCATCTGTAGGCAACTGGCTATCCCTTTATGGAAGGGTCATGGGGAGGAGACGAGCCAGTCAGGGTGCAGTGTAGCACCGATGAAACATACAGCTTTCCTCTGGTTCTTTAATGCTTCCTCCCCCACCACCCCACTACCATGATCACAATTCTACCTTACAAATCTGGCTAGACCAGAGGATGTACACTGGTACAGATAAGAACTGGAAACAGGGAATCTAGGACAGATAAACCCCTCAGGACCAATAATGAGAGTAGCGATACCAGGAGGGGAAGGGGCAGGTGGGGTAGAAAGCAGGAACTGATCACAAGGATCTGCATATAACCCCCTCCCTGAGGAATGGAGGATAGAAAAGTGGGCAAAGGGAGACGTTGGACAGTGTAAGACATGAGAAAATAATAATAATGTATAAATTATCAAGGGTTCATGAGGTAGGCGGGGTGGGGAAGAAGGGGCAAAAATGAGGAGCTGATATGAAGGGCTCAAGTAGAAAGAAAATGTTTTTAAAATGATGATGGCAACATATGTACAAATGTGCTTGTACAATGGATGGATGTATGGATTGTGATAAGAGCTGTTAGAGCCTCCGATAAAATGATTTTTTAAAAAGCTGTACGAGCCCCCAACAAAATGATTAAAAAACAACAAAAGTCAGAGTCGTGGAAACCTGCCGGGGCAGTTCTTCCGTGCCCTGTGGGTTGCTGTGAGTTGGCATCAGCTTAATGGCAGAGAGTGCGTATGCCAAGATCCTTTCTCTTTCTAATAATCTCTCTCATACTTTACAGCATTAAACACATGTGAATTATAATGAATCATTCCTCGACACTTTTCTTTTGGGAAACAATGACTTATACCAAGGTGACCTTTTGGAGATAGAAGTTGTTATTTCTGTACAGCCAAGTTTAAAATGAAATTAAACAAAGCCAGAACTTGAACAATCTGCTTACATATTTTGACTATTGTTTGTCCTTATTTCAAAATTGTTGAGCTGCATTGTTAGATTTTAACTCTCTAGTGCAAGAATAATTCTATTCTACCTCTCATTATTCTTAACAGGAAGGTTATTTTCCAGATTTTCATTGCTATTAAGCAGCAGTGTGCATTTGGTTTGTTGAAAGAAGCATCGATTTTTAACGTCATTCCCCAGTAAGGGAAACAGGCAGCATTTCCTTTCAGAAATTTCTGCTTCAATGTTGAGCTTTCCATAAACTTGAGATGTCCTATACTTTGTTGCTTGGAAGATACATAATCATGAGGAATCATCATCTTTTATTTAGTTATCTTTGAAAAAAATTGATCACCTGCAATGGATCCTTTATCATAATTCATAGATTATTTTTGTTCTTGTTTTTCCAAGTGTATCATTGCCTCAGACAATTGGACAGGTGTTCATTGAGAAACTAGCTGACTACATTCTGGTGAGAACAACCTTTGGCTTTTCTTTGGCTTGGGATGGAATATCTGGAATTTACCTCAAGCTGTCGGAGATGCACAAAGGGAAATCTTGTGGCCTGTGTGGAAACTACAATGGCATTCAGTCTGACGATTTTGTAATTCAGCAAGGTGAGTATTTGGGGCTAGACTGTACAGGTACTGTCTAGAATCTGCTTTCTTCGTCCCCCCCATCCGCACACAGAACACTTGTCCTTATTGGGTAAAATTAGCCACTTGCCTACTTGTGTGATTTTAAGCTCAGTATAAATTAGAAAATAAAAATTGAGTCATTTCTGAAAACCAGGAGCTAGTTTACACTTGCTAAATGAAGGTACAGGATTCACGTATGCAGTAAATGCTAATTGAGCATTCCCTTCAGTTCAGAAACTTGTGATATCCGCCAGTGAACCAGAGAAAGACTCCTGCCTCTAAGAGCTCAACCCTAGTGATTCAAACCCAGTTAGGAGCAAACGTGTCTTCTTCAGAGAAAACACTGCTTAGCTTCTCGTTTTATCAGAATAAATCAAATGGCTGAAAATAAAATTCCATAAATAAAGGTAATGACATGTGAGGAAGATTATGGGAACTGAACAGCAATTTGAAACGTTTTTATGATGTGTAATGTCTTGAATAGTTAGTGGATTATTAATGGGGGAGTATGTCAGGAAGCAAATGAGCAGGGTACGAAGTATGTGGGAGGAGTTTAAAGAGAGATTTCCGCTTCTCCAAAAAGTTGTTTGGTACACAGTACACAGTGGAATAGTATAAAATCTCCATTTACAACAATTTCTCTGCCTGTGACTAGAACCTGCCCTCAGATTTTTCTCCCATCATGAAATGCCTGTAGATAAACTGTATTGCCACTAAGAGATGTAGTGTTTTATTAAAATACATCTTTATTTTGCTGATTAGATAAATATTTGGTGACAGAAAATCGATTGCATACCATGGAGTGCAGTGTTTTCATCATTTCTCTGTGGATGCCTTCTCGTTCTTCAGAGACGACGTCACAGAGAAATGAGGCTTTAGAATTTCTGTGAATATTAGGAGACTTTAATTTGTGTTCTAGTTGAGAATTTTAGCTCCATCATTCATATCCAATGCTACACCCAAGCCATGGTGCGCTCTTGATTTCCACCCTGTGATTAGTATCACCTCCCTTTTACTCTCCAGTGTTCCAATGTGGACAATGCATTACTTCTCTTATAGCTTGTTTTATACAAGGCATTCTAATTTTATTTTAGTAGATTTCACGTAGCTACTTGATATTATTTAAGATCTAGTAATAATTACGAACTTCGTGACTCATTTATACAACATAATGAAAATAGCTAAATACATGCTTCAAATGCTATAATTAATATTAACTCCAGAAGGATTGCCACTCTTTAGTAATACTAAAATTTAGGCATAAATATTGAAATAAGTGAACCTTTGGGAAATGTTTTTAGTTCTGAAGATTTAAAATGATGTTTTAAAATAAAATGTGATTGGTAAATTTACTTTACAATTGTTTAAATATGTATTAGACCAGACCTAGAATCAGTTTGATGTGTAAGCTATTCATCAGTGTTTGGGATAATGCAGTAAGTGGGCCAAACGCGTTTGAAAGCTCTACGATGTTACACCAGAATTCAATGTTGCAAAAATTGTCATTATGTATTCATGCCCTGATTTTGAATGGCTTTTGAACCCTAACTAGAGTCCAGGCAGTAACTAGGATTCAAACAGTAGAAGAACTTTGACAAGCTCTCTGTGTGCTTGCAGTGTATCTGGTAGTGAAGCACATAATAAAGAGGCAAACAAGTGGAAATCGCATTTTAATGATCCATACCAGCCATGATAAAAGGCAAATGGACAAGAGATTAAGCGGGATAGAAGAGTGTGGTCAGTAGTAATCTAGACCCTGTGGCTGCAAAGGCCTCCTTAAGGAAGTCACATTGTGAAGATGCTTAAGTGCAGTCAGGAAATGACTGGAGTCTGAGTGGTGAACGTTGGGAATGCACTGGCTAAGTGATATTGGAAGTGGAGCCCACTCAGGTGCCTCGGAAGAAAGATCTGGTGATTTACTTTCAAAAACCCCAACCACTGAAAGTCGTTTGGAGCACAATTCTACTCTCACATATCTGTGTTGTCATGAATTAGGAATGACTTGACAGCAGATGGTTTTAGGAATGAACTTGGTATTGGAAAGAACAGCATAAAGCCAGGATTGCTGGAGCTTAGTGAACAAGTCAGAGTCAACAATGATGACTACAGGAAGGAGCCAGTCTTTCAGGCTATGTGGTACTAAATTTTAGGATTTTTTACTAAGAGAGAACAGCCCAATCAACCCAATCGATGGTAGTATGTGACAATATCTTCCCAATTTGAAGGTGTGAGAGAATATGGTGACACCTTGACTTTAGAAGAGAGGCAGGCGTAATGTAGGTGGCATAGAGATACTTAATTCCTGTGTTGTCATAGGTTGTAACCAATGGTAGACTTTATGACCATGTAAATCTGTGTTGTGGAGAACCTGAAGTGCAAATCAGAAGGCTTATTGGCTTAAATGGAACTTTAAAATGCCATTTTGCTTGATTGAGCTAAGTTCTTGAGGTTTGAGATTCAGTCTCTGTCTCAATTTGGGCAAGATTAATTTCCAGGTCAGGTCCTGAACTTGTTCTGCTAGGCCAGCTGCTGAGACAATTAAAACCTGAGAGTCCAGAGAGTTCATCTCCTAGCCACCGGTTTGCTGCTGTCTCCATCAGAAGGCTGGCAAAAGCTGCATGTTCTTCGTATTTGGACCTGTCCCCCATGTATCTAGGAGAATCTGTTCCTCATATTCCAATGAAATGGATTCACCTCTTAGTTTTCAGAGCACTAGGTGTCTTTTCTAGTCTTTAATCATCTATGTGACTATCTTCTGAAATTTCTTAAAGGGCTTGAAATAGACTTTTTTTTTCAATTTTAGAGGAGCCAAAAAAAAAGGTGGGCTTTAGTAAGATTCTGAGGAGTATCCAATAGAATGAGAGGGCAGTTTATGCCATCTCCCACCAAAATTTTACTACGTTTCTTGATTTTATGATTATTTTCCCTCCTCTCTCCAACACAAACTCTTTTTTGGCTAACCTGCACTCTGCTGGTGTGCATGTTATATCATCTCACTTTCACACTTTCCTAATCTTGTTTTATTGCAGTTTGCTTTTTTTTCGCCAACTGCGATAATTTTATTGGGTGCTTATACTTTGTTCAATATGTTTTTATGCTAAAGTGATAAAATCTGATATCACTGGTTAATTATAAAGTGATTTGAGTTTCCCTTTCTGATTGGAGCGCTCATGCTGAAAAACTATGTGGAAAGTACCACTCATACATTTATTATTTGGTGTATATGTGTGTTTGTGTGAAGTAGAGGACTACACAGAGGACATTGCTATGTTTGCAAGTAGTTGGATGGTGCAAACTCCAGATGCTGCCAAATGTGTACCCATACCCTCAGATTTTCCCAGTCCATGCTCAAGTGGAATGCCAGCATTTGAGGTAAGTTTGATGGGAAAACAAGTTGAGCACGCTGAGCATAATAAAAACATATAAACTATTTTTGTAGTCTTCATTAAGCAATTTTAGTGCAAACTCAATGTAATTCCAAGCTATTAAATCAAAGAAATGTAATATCAACAGAGAATAAGCTTAAGGTTATTTCAGAAATCATGAATGTAATGAGTTCATGAAAGCAATAATGATTATGAAAATATGAACTTAAAAGTGTTGGTTAATATTTATAAGAATACATTACCCTGTCTTTTCTGGTCATAACTAAGAGGGTTGCAATGGACTACTAAGGGAAATCAGAGAACACCCCCTCAGTAAATATGATTTGGTGACCTGTATCTTTTTCCGCATAGGCCATCTTCTTCAAGTGCCAGATACTGTTGCAGTTCCCCTTTCTCAGCTGCCATGAATATATTGATCCATATTTGTATATTGCCAGCTGTGTTAATGATCTTTGCAAGTAAGTGAAGTGCTTGGCATTTGCAATAAAATTTTACCTAAGTGTATGAATATACTCCTTTGGGTTTGAATCATTTTTATGCCACCGAACCTTTGGGAGCCTAGAAATGTCTATAACCCTTATTCAGAGTAAAGCTCCAAAATGCACTAAATTACAAAGAAAACCAATTATATTGAGATATATTTATCAAAATAGTATCAATGTGTTTTCACATGCATCTAAGTCCTTTTAATTACTGTTATTTGACATAGTGATAAGCATAAATAATATTTTGATATATTTCTGACAACTTTAAAGAGATAAAAAATATTTTTGATTTCTGTTGGTGACAAAGTCATAAATACTGCTGGTAACATTGTGATGTGCTGCCTATATACATAATTGAAGGGAATGCTAAATTTCAGTCAGAGATTAGTGAAAATAAAGATACTGTCTTTTACTCATCCAAGATCTCAGACACTTGTGTTGTAATTAAGGCCTCTGTGGATCTCAAGTTAACACCTGAAATCGATTACTCACTAAGCGAAAAAAATTCAATGAGGCCAGTCTAATCTTTTCATCAATGTAGAGGCCACAAATTATCCATTATTGAAATAAACTTTATTTTACTATTCTATTTTAATTTTAAATCTTACAAGTATATAGAATTAGCCATCTTGGAAGTTTAATAATACTTCAAGAATTCACATGTATACTTTTTAAAAGACTTGATAAATGTTAAGGATACATGGAAAACTATCTTGTAAAAGATCAGACTAGGTTTTAGGTGAGTGAAACTTTAAATGATGTCTTCAATACCTGTTAAAAAGCTTAAGTTTATCAAAGGTCAGCCTCTGGGTGGTGAAAATGGTTTGTTTTCCACCTAAAACTTGGTGGTTCAAAACCACTCAACAGTTCAGAGGGAACTGCAGATTAAAGCCAAGACCCCCACCTTCCATGTGGCAGATCTCGCTTCTTCTCATACGTGGGGTTGCCATGAGTTGCATTCAACTGGATGCCAACAGGTTTGGTTTGGTTTGGGGAGGGTAGACAATGGCTCTTATTAAATCCTGAAAATAGAATTCAAAACTGCACTTACCCCAGTGACTCGGACTATTCTCCAATAATTTCGTTACTTGCCTTATCATTATTGACTTTACTACCCATTTGCTTAGTAGACTGAGGTGAAGTATCATTTGGTATGCTCAGGAAAGTTATCTTCCACTTATTAGAATATTGTTTGCCTGCTGTAATATTCAAAGCAAGTGTCTAAAATGAAATTGAACATTTACATTTCTCTCATAATCAAAACTGGCCCTCCACTATTCTTTCATCATTTCAGCACTTATCATTAGAAAAAATGAAGTAGAAGGCTGAAAACATTTTAGAAATTATTTTTAAGTTTCGTGTACCACAGTCACTTCTAGACCTCGGGACAGAACTTTAAAACATGCCCCTACATAGATGCAGATGAGGTTGAAAACTGTTGTCTTTGGCTCAGCAGCCACATAGATGCCCAGTGAAAACTTGGAGGTTCCAATACTGCAAACAAAAGAGATGAGTGACTATATTAGAGGACAAGTCTCTACCACACTTGCATTTTCAATGTTATCCTTAAGAAATTAACATCTTTTGAAATGCTTATCATTAGGCTTTGGATTTTTGAACCTGATGCTTTCTCTTGGACAAATAAAAATAGCAGTTAAAGAGAAGCATTTGTTTTCTAGCAAAAATTGGATGACTCCCGAGATAGGCTCGAATAGGAGAAGCAGGAGTTGGGTGCACATCAGACATGGAATCTCAAAGAAGGGCATCGTGGACTATACGTAGATATCTATAAAAGGGAAATGAGAAGTTGCTTCCAAATTTCCCCAGGGACTAGCCCTCCCTGTACATTGCTTCCGTGAGAGGCCTTTCTCTTTATTTCTCTCTTAGGGACCTGCATCCCAAGGATATCATAACATGAGAATGAAAAGGTGACTCATTTGAAAATAAAATACTTTTCTGTTTGATTAAAAAATATCTTAAAATAAATTTGACACAAATGGAGCTTCTGGCTTGTACAAGTAGCTAACATTTTGGTTATTACCCTACAAGTTGGAAGTTGGGTCCACCCACGGGCACCACAAATGAAGACCCGACTTCTGAAAACTCAGCCATTGGAAACATTTCGGAGCATATTTAGATTCTGACACATCTGGGGGGCCATGAGTCAGACTCCCTCCCCAGCAACTGTTTGTTATTTCCCCCTGAGATCTATTTTGAGCTGGGACTTGTGCCACCCGTTGGAGAAACAGAGTTAGGACCTGTTCCTCTCCCAGCAACCAGCCCCCAGAGGCTGCACAGAAGAGATGGCCTTTGACTTGAAACTTGACAGATGACTCGGTAGTCATCTCTGAAATTAAGCTCTTCTGTTTCTGCTTCTAGCAATGATAACCCTGCTGTGGTTGTTACAAGCTGTTGATGTCATTTCAACTCATAGAGACTTTGTGTACAGTAGAACCAAACATGACCTGATCCGGCACCATCCCCACATCATTTCTGCTTTTGAGCCTGTTGTTGTAGCTCTGCTCAGCAGCAAGGAATGACTATACTTTTGCCATGCTAAAGTGAATTCAATTGGAAACCTCTTCTGGTTAGTAGGGAGTCCTGGTGGCATGGTGGTTGTGTGTTGAGCTGTGAGCTGCAAGGTCAGTCCTTTGAATTCCCTAGGCACTCTTCTGGAGAAAGATGCGGCATTCTAGTCCCATGAAGAGTTATAGTCTTGGAGATTCACAAGAGCAGTTTTCCCGTGTCCTATAGTGTTGCTATGTGTCAGCATTGCCTTAATGGCAGGGAGTCTAGTTTTGAGTTTCATTTGCTAGTGCTTATTTTACCTATCAAATGTAGTTCTCAAAATATAAAAATAAGATTATTTTCCTTGCCCAATAGTTGCAAGTTTTAAAATGAAATTTTGCTTGCAACGTGGCTAGCACAATGCCTAGAGTAACACAGACAATAAACAATATATTATAGGTATTTTAGGAATAGTTGCATTGGTTTTCCAAACCAATATTCAGTTGCTTTGCTAATTTCCAAATCCACCAAGAAATTGTAGGAAGCAACACACACATTCTGAGACAATTCATAGACTTAATATCTTTCCAGGAATTAAAAAAAATAGTGTACACTGTTTCACAAAGAAACTTTTCTTGTCTGGGGGTTTAGAATATTTTTTAAAGCTTATATACTAGATCGTTTTTCTTCTTAAATCTCAGTTAATTGTACTAGATAAGCTGCACGACTCCAATTACAGTAGCCCAGGATAAGTGCTATTTGAGATGATAGTTTGTACAATAGAGATACTGAAAATGTTAAGGTACACACACACACACACACACACACACACACAAACACTCACATTCTCAAGGTCATTATGTTGTAAGATATTTAGCTGTTCAATTTTGAGTTTGGCTTGGGTTGAAAAACAAGCCCACTACTTTGTTATAAATCCTGCTTATTTTATAGGTACCCTGTTAATCTACTTTGGGAATTGGTCAAACTCTTCTAATCAAAGATTGTTTGGAGTGGCTTAAAAAGTGATTATTAAAAATAAGATGGTTTACTTTGAAAAGAGGTTATGAAAGTAGTTAGCTTTAGTGATTTAAGTTTGAGATAATTCAAAATCTAATTTTAAATAGCAAGTTAAAATCTACTTATTAATTGTTTCACAAATGCTTTGGAAGATCCTTATAAGAACCTTTAAGGACCAATGAAAATATATTTGAGTGCTACAATTTTTTATTTTTAACCTATTATGTGGGCTATAACAAGTATTATATTTTGTGCTTTTGTTGTAATAGGGTTTTTAAGACAGTAAAACAGTTATGGTAGATAAGCAGATGAGTTATTATAAGCTGAATTAATTAATTATTGCCATATACTTCATGTACCAAAAAAGTAAATAATTTTAATGTATTAAAAAGAGTTGAATAATGACCATCACTATCAGTTTTAGGAAGGAAACCTTGTGGTGTAGTGGTTACACGTTGGACTACGATCCACATGGTCAGTAGTTACGATCCACATGGCCAGTAGTTCCAAACCAAGAGCAGCTCTGTGGGAGAGGCGGCATTCTCTGTCCATAAACAGTTGGCTTGGTAGCCCACAGGGGGTCCATGAGTCATTATTGACTCCATGCCAGTGAGTTTGGTTGCTTTGTTTTTTTAATCAATTTTAGAACTTTTTTTTTCACTTTTTTACTCACTGTTAGCTCTCTATTTTGCCCAATTTACAGTCTCTATAGATTTACTTATCCTGGATTTCATCGAAAGAAAACCAGACAAAAACCCAAAATATAAAATCCAACAACAATAACACAAGGAAACAGAAAATTCCAATCCACAGGAAAGGAGAGCATAAAAATGAGAACAAATTAAAAATGGATCAAAAGGGAAAACAAATGATAAGTCGTTAAAATTTAACTTGACTATATCTCTGTTAATTCACTTTCTGATGTGCTTTGTCTGAGAGTCAAGCAACTCACATCCCTGGCCAACGGTCAAAGGAATTCAATGGAGGCTTAATCCCTGTGGGGCCTCTGCAAATCGATTTGCACTTTCACTGTCATCCATAGCCATCTGCAGAGCAGTGCTCAGAATTTAAGCTCTAATACAATTCCCTCTTCTGACCTTGCATTTTATTATTTACAATTGTAAATTGTGTCCTCCTTTGTGTGGGCCTGGCTGGCACCTCACTTGGAGGCTGCTTGTTGACAGACAAGCTTCTGGCTCAGGCACTACTCTGAGAGCCGATCACCTTCCATTTTCTTTACCACACTTATCTTTAGTGAGCCCTTCATGAGGGTTAAATACTGTGCAGGTCCCCATCATAAGAATGAACTATTCTTAGGTTAGAGCTTAAGGTTAAGTGTGAGCTCAAAATCCCTTTGTATATGCAAGATTTATATATAAAATCCCTATTCCATATCAGTGGCAACATTGTCAGCTTTCTGAGAGATACTAAAAATTACTTCCATAGGACCTTTGGTAATTCTAATTATAGTGTCATTAAAGTAGCCAATGGTATAGGATCTAAAATAATAAGGGGTATATTTATAGATAGTCAAGTTTGTTAGACTAAGAAACACAGGGTATTCACTTATACATATTAAAAAATGTGACTAGCTCCTGTTTAAGAAAACAATAAGGGTTGGACACAGGGCGCAAAGTTCAGTCACACTGATTTGCTCTGGCAGTATGTCTACAGAGCAAGGACATGCTTTTAGAAGCTAAGAAAATATGGAAGTGGGGAATTTATAATGCTCTTAAATAGTCTTACATTGCTTATTATTGGGTAATCTCAAAAGCAAGCCTCTTCTCTTATGAGGGTGTTACAGGGTTAAAATAAGTTCCCTTATTTTGATTTTAAAGAATTTTATTGCTATGTAATTGACATATAACACAATGTCATAGTTCAAGCATATTAAGAAGAGTTGTGCAATCATCACCACAATCACTTTCAGAACATTTTCCTCTTTCTCTAGCCACTGTTGTTAGCTTCCCGTCCCATCCGCCCACCTCCCGGCTGTGCCCCTAGGTCATTCTTCACCCAGTTCCTGTCTCTATAGATTTACCTATTTTGGATTTCATCTACATGACGTCATGCAAAACAAAAACTAGAAATAAAATAAAATAAACCACCCAACCAGAAAAACCTCAGTCAGAAGCAAAGCAGAAAATATGAAAGATATTAAAAACGGAAACAACTTCAGGTCACATCAGATGTTAAATTTTCACCTAACTGTATCACTTTCCACATGATTGTACATATTTTGCAGACCCACCGGCATTGTGTGGGCGTTTCAACCTCTCTGCACCCTCTTCAGCATGTTGCTTTCTGTTTTTTATTAACTGCATTTTTCTTTTAGGTGTAAGTGATATGTCACCATTGTTTTGATTTGACTTTCCCAGATGGTTAGTGATAGCAAACATTTTTTCATGCATTTGTTAGCCATTTGGATATCTTTTTTGGTGAATCATCTGTTAATGTCTTGTGCCCACTTTGATTGACTCGATTTCTTTCTATAGTGTTCTGCAGATTTTAGAGACTAGCATTTTGTCCGTGCTGTTGTTGCTGAAGACATTGTGATAGGATTTTATCTGTTATTATAACATTTTCAAAATATAAAAGAATTAGGTGCTTTTATATTTAAAAAAATACATAAAAGGGGGCAAAAGCTACCAGGATTCTGGCAAGAACATAAATATCAAAATATAATTCTTTAAAAAAATAATTCTTTATTAGTATTGGCAGTCTCGACTCAAAATGAAAGTGGTCATATTATTGAAGTGGTTCTCAGCCTTGCTCAGGCCACCACCCTTTCATACAGTTCCTCAGGTGGTGGTGATGCCCCCAACCATAAAATTACTTTCATTGCTACTTCATAACTGTAATTTTGCTACTGTTATGAGTTGGGCGACCCCCGTGAAAAGGTCGTTCCCACCCCCAAAGGGGTCATGACCCACAGGTTGAGATTCTACACCATGATAGCTGAAATTCAAATGTATGTATTCCCACCTTACCTTAGTAGGTTAGGAGACACAGATGGCCATAAATCTATCGATTCGTTTTGAAGTATTTGCCACTCACATAGCATTACTGGGGACCAGGAGCTCACAGGTATTCTGCTGTCAGGGTTTCCTGTGCAATTCTTGCTTTTCTTTTTTCTTCTCCAGGACGGGAGATGATGACACCTACTGCCGAGCGGCCACGGAGTACGCCAGGGCCTGCTCCCACGCTGGCTACCCGATCCAAGACTGGAGAGACGACTTTCCCGCGTGCAGTACGCCTTCTTCTTTCCAAGTCCTGCATGTTGCTGCTCTTGTTAAATGCATAACGTCAGTTCTGTCTAACCGCAGCCTCTGAACGACAGACTGAAGCATGGCTTAGTCCTGCGCCAGCCTCTTAATCGTTGCTATGTTTCAGCCCATTGTTGCATCCATCTAATCGAGATATTCCTTTTTCCTGACTTTTTACTTTATCAAGCAAGCTACCCTTTCCTAGGGATTGGTCTCTCCTGTTAGCATTTCCAAAGTAAGTGAGAGGAAGCCTCACCGTTCTTGTTTTTAGGTGTCATACTGCTTCCAAGACCGATTTGTTAGTTCCTCAGGCGGTCCATGGTACAGTATATTCAATACCATTTGCCAACATGATAGTTCAAATGCATCAATTCATTGTCAATCGTCTTCACTAATTGTTCAGCTTTCACCTGCATATGAAGTGATTGAAAATACTATGTCTTGGATCAGGCACACTTTAGTCCTCAAAATGACATTAAATGCTCCTAATATTGAGAGAAGAAGTCTGAGCTTCTTCAGGGTTGCACTGAAGACATTGAGAAAAACAACACTCCAGGAATTCACGGCGTACTAATTAAGATGTTTCAACAAATGGGTGCGATGTTGGAAGTGTTCACTCAACTATGCCATGAATTTGGAAGACACCTACCTGGACAGCTGTAGCAAAGAGAACCATATTTGTACCCATTCCAAAGAAAAGTGACCCAACAGAATGCAAAAAGTATCCAACCTTTCCGTTATTAACACACGCTAGTCACATTTAGCTGGATATCATTCAAACATAGTTGCAGCAGTACAGCAACAGGAACTGTCAAATTTCAGCTAGCTTCAGAAGAGAATGTGGAACAAAGCATGTCTATCATTGCTGATGTCAGACCGATCTTGATTAAAAGCTTAAAATACTAAAAATATGTTTATTTGTTTTTATAGACTATGCACAGACATTCAATTGTATAAATCATGACAACTTATTCATCACATTATGAAAAGTAGGAAGGAATTCCAAAGCATTTAATTGAGCTCATAGACCAAGTGCTTATGAGCCTATATGTAAATCAAGTTGCCGTTGTTTTAGGAAAAAACAAGGAGATTCTGCATGGTTTAAAATCAGGGAGGTGTGTGTCAGGGTTGTATACTTTCACCAGACTTATTTAATATATGCTAAGCATGTAAGCTTAGAAGCTGGCTTATATGAATAACGCAGTATCAAGTTTAGTGTAAGACTCATTCATACCTTTCCTATGCATACAACCCAATCTTGCCAGAGGAAAACTAAGAGGACGTGAAGCACTTACCGATGAAGACGGAAGACTGCAGCTTTCAACAAACTCACAGCTTTCCGTTTAGATTATAGTTCAACAGAGAGAAGGTAACATTCTTCACGATAGGATCAATGGCACCATCACGATAAATGGAGAAAAGATTGAAATTAGGATTTCATTTTCAATTGTATTCACAATCAATGCCTTTGGAAGCAGCAATCAAGAAAGCAATGATATATTTCATAGATGATATTCAATTCTGTGGTAAAAGACCTCTGTAAAGTGTCAAAAAATGAAGTCTACTTTAAGGAATAAGGTGCCAGGAAGCTCTGTTACTTTTGTTAAATTTAGGCTTATCCGAGTACTGGAAACTTACCTAGTACTCGAAATCACCAATTTGGAAGTTGCTATAAATAGAAGTCTAGGCGTTTTGTACACTTGCGCATCTTTTCCAATGCAGCAATGGTTTGTATTAGAGAGATCAGCCAAGCTGGCTCACAGTTACCTTTCTTGCTCATTTTAGCTGATAAATGTGATGACAGCCTTGTCCATCGGGATTGTATCAGTTGCTGTCCACCCACCTGCACATTCGAGAAGGAGTGTCTGGGGAGCAATCTCCACTGTCTTGACGGATGTTACTGTCCGGACGGTAAGTGCCTCGTCTTTACCTCACGGCCACTGCGCTCAGTCATCTGGATGACTCCCCCAGAGCCTCCCCATCCCATTAACGTCGCTCTCGTTTCGACGCGTATAGAATTTGGATCATAAAATAAGTGGTTGTTTCTTAAAAATAAAGGCTCATTTCTTTGTAAATGTCCAAGTAAATTTATAACATAGAATCCTGAAAGGATGTAGG